ATTAGGTTGAATAATCTTCCAGGTATGATTAAGGGAAATTATTAACTCCTATAAACACACCTTGAGGAAAAAATGGCCCAGGAAATTAGTAAACTTTTCTCCCGTTCTGTTTAATTAATGTTAATTTTTATGTCAACTATCGGCTACCATAAACGTAAGAACTTCTACATGGTGGCCATAAGAACCACAATGGTGGCCACATTTGCACATTATGGTGGCCAAATAGCACAGTGGCCACAAAAAATCAGCCCAGGTGACCTTAAATTGCCACAATAACAGAATGGCCACATAACCACAATGGCCACAATAAGAGAATGGCCACAATGACCACAATAACAGAATGGCCTCAGTAAGAGAATGGTCATAATACCACAATGGCCACAATACCACAATGGCCACAATAAGACCAGGTATCCCCGGAGACACACACAGGTGCTCATGTGGGATCAAATACCGTGTGTCAGGCCAAGATCCGGAGATTAACGGATCCGTCCAGGTGTAATGAAAGGGATTCCGATCTCCTTGTGGCATTATTTTTGGTATTTTTTTTTTACTTATTTATTTCTCTTGAGAGATTTATATATATATATATTTTTTTTTCTTTTGTTTGTTTTTTTCTTATTTGGTGTTGTTTTTGTTGTTCTCATTCTTGTTCTAATTCTTGCTCTTTTTTCTTTCTTTTTTCTTCTTTTCATCTTTCTTTTACTTTTACTTTTTTTATTCTTCTTGTCTCCTTTCCTCTCTATTGTTCCTCAGTTTTCTTCCTTTTTTTTTTTACTTTTCAATTTATTTTTATTTTTCTATTCCTTCCTTCCTTCCTTCCTTCCTTCCTTCCTCCTCCTTCTTTCTTCTCTCCATCTTCGTTGTTCTTCACATACAAAGACACAGAGGAGTGTGACTTCAGAGCTGACAGTAAATTTTCTTTATCTTTACCTACTCTTCTTCCTTTGCCTCCTCCTCTTTCTTTCTCTCCTCCTCCTCCTCCTCCTGTTCTTCCTCCTTCTCCTCCTTCCTACTAATGTAAAAGGTAGGGAAACATTGAAGGAGTGTCGAGGAGTTTGTCTTAAGCTCAGCCAAGATTGGTCTCTACCCCAGCGTGAATCTAGTCATTATAACCCTCTGCTTCTGTGTCTCAATGTATATCCGAGGTATGTATATGTATGAGTGTATGTATGTGTATGAGTGTATGTATATGTATGAGTGTATGTATATGTATGTATATGTATGAGTGTATGTATATGTATGAGTGTATGTATATGTATGAGTGTATGTATATGTATGAGTGTATGTATATGTATGAGTGTATGTATGTGTATGTATATGTATGAGTGTATGTATATGTATGAGTGTATGTATATGTATGAGTGTATGTATATGTATGAGTGTATGTATATGTATGTGTGTATGTATATGTATGAGTGTATGTATATGTATGAGTGTATGTATATGTATGAGTGTATGTATGAGTGTATGTATATGTATGAGTGTATGTATATGTATGAGTGTATGTATATGTATGAGTGTATGTATATGTATGAGTGTATGTATATGTATGAGTGTATGTATATGTATGTGTGTATGTATATGTATGAGTGTATGTGTATTTGATGCTTAATGAGCTGGTAAATATGTGGCGTTTGTATTGTGTAGTGTGAGTTTATTATTTATTAATTAATTAATTTATTTTTTTATGCTGTTGAAAAAGTGACTCGTCGCTTCCACACATGTAGTACTTTGGTAATGGAAGACAAATCCCCATACACACAAACTAGTGATTAATCGGTGTAGGGTAGTCTTTTAACAATATAATCGACCATCAGTATAGGTTATAATCACCACCTGTCTGTCTATCTATCTATCTATCTATCTGTCTGTCTATCTATCTATCTATCTATCTATCTATCTATCTATCTATCTATCTATCTATCTATCTATCTATCTATCTATCTATCTATCTATCTATCTATCAATGTGTCTGTCTCACTGTCCTCATAATCGACCTCCTCGCGTCCTCATCCGACAAGGGCGTCCCTCGTCCCCAATAAAAGCTCACTGGGTTAATGACAACTCCTCGCCGCCGTAACAACGAAACGACATCACGATCCTTGTAATTGGTTCATTAATCACCGTACTAGTGAAGCGGGGATCCCTCACTTGGTCCGATAACCCAGGTGGTGGTGTATCCTATCCACCCACCCACCCCCCCCTCCCCTCCCCTCCCCTCCTCTCCTCCCCCCTGCGGGTTATTGGACCACTTGAAGGACGTCCTCGTTACCAAGAGCATCAATTAAACGGGACGGCCAGCAGCTGACTCCACCGAGATCGCTAGAGTCCCCCCCCCTTTTGAGAGCCTCCTCTCTCTCCCTCTCTCCCTCATTGTTTCCCTCTCATCCTCCTTTTCAGTTCCCCCCTTTACCTGTCTCCCTCCCTTCCTCCTCCCCCTCCCTCTCCTCCCCCTCTGTTTCCCCTCCCTCTCACTATATTTGACAATCTATCCGTTAACTTCACTCGGTTCCTATATTGATGGTGCGTGCGGTGGGAGGCTAAGGGCTAGAGGCTCCCAGCACCTGTATCACCTTTGTACCTGAACAAATGATGCTTTAGGGTTCATTGTACCAGAACTAGAGAAGCTGTCAGCATATTTGTACCCACAGTAGGAGGCTGTCAACAATTATTTATACCTAATCTAATATAACCTAACATAACCTAACATAAACCTAACCTAACCTCCCCCCCAGATTAGTGTTAGGGTATAAATCATCAGGTGATATAAACTGGGGGGGGGGGTGGTGGTAGGTATCTTATCTTATCAATTATTCCTGAAAAAAAAAATCACCAAACACTCATGAGAAAAAAAGACACTGACAATAACCTACTTGATAACTCAGGTTAAATTAAAATACTCCTCGACAATGGGATGAATTTAAGCGAATTTATATCACTTGTTCCTCATTAATCGTTCAAGGCTGAGTAATGAAAAAAGTTCAAAATGGACGTCGCGTCGTTCTTGGTAATTCACATGGTATAAAAGATCGATAATAATTTATCCACTGTGATGTTAAAGTGACGTTATAATGAATTTCCCCTTTACCTAGAAAAGTGTTCATGATTATTTTGTTTCGCTTTTGTTAATTCACATCGAGTAAGAGTTAGTATAGTGTTGACATTGATGTGTTTTTTTTTTTACGTGGAATTCATAATGTTTCGTTGTTGGTAATTCACATCGAGTAAGAGTTAAGTATATACGTTGTTAAGACTAATATGATATAGACATTGATATAAATTTATAAACCTAGAAATCCTTATTATCGTCTCCTTCTTGGTCAATTCACATCGAGTAAGAGTTATAATGTGTATATATATATTGTTCACACTAATATGGTATAGGATATTGTGTTATTCTTTGGTGGGGGGTGGGGTGCCAGGTGCTGGGGAGTGTGTGAAGGGGTCATGGGGGAGGGGTGCTGTAGTGTGTGGGAGGAGGGATCATGGGGGTTGGTTCAGGTGTGGAGGGTATCTTTGTGGGGGGTTGCTCTGGTGATGTGTGGAAGCTATCAGGAGGGAGTGCCGGTGTTGGGGGGTTACTGTGGGAGTGGAGTGCTGTGGTGTTGGGGGGGTTACTGTGGGAGTGGGGTTCTGTGGGGGCAAGGGAGAGAAAGACTTAAGGGTGACGGGTGGTGATGTTAAGAGTACGTAATGATAACAGGAAGCCCAACCACGGCCGTACAGTACTGAGCTAACTACTGGATACATATCTCGGGTAAGGCGGATCTTGTTTAGTTTTTTGTGATCCCTTGGTGCTTCCTTTCTTTCTTTCTTTTTTTTTCTTTCTTGGGTCTGTCTGTTTGTCTCTCTCGTTCTCTCTCGAAGCCGAATATATTTTCTCTAATTAATCCTAGTCTGCAGCATTTTCCGGTATATGCAAATTCCCAGAAGCTACGCGCCAGTCTTCTTTTTTTTTACCTTAAATTATAAATGAGAATAAAAACTTGAAGTCTTTTGGGAAGCTTTTGTTCGTTCAGGTGGTAATTGGTTACCATCTGTGTCTCCATACCCACCACTATCACCACCACCACCTGAACCACCTGGTAAACTATAACCACTATCACCAATTCACCACCACCTGAACCATCTGTCTAAAACCATACGCATCACCACTACCACTATCTCCACCACCTGAACCACCATTACTACGACCACCTCCTAAACCACCTGGGCAGTTCATGACCTCCCCCTTCCCCTCCCCCCCTTCCTCCCTTAATTGCCAGCTACTGACCGCTAACTGCCATTCCACACCATTAACAACGACAAATGACCATTAACCGGAACTTCATAACCCTTAAACTGCCATTTCGAGACTGCTAACCACCCATTTATCGCCGCCAACAGTCACGCCAATGACAGCTTCATATATTGGCAGTTTGTTTGGCCAGTATCTTCGTTAACTCCAGTACTGGCGGTCTATTGGACGGGCGATTCCATTAACGAGTGGAGTCACTGTCGGTCGGTTACCAGGTGTGTGTGTTTACATATTATGGTAGGTAAATAAACCTCGAACGGCAGGTGGCATTGTCTCCTCTCTTAATCCCCATCTACGCATCTCCTTTCTTCTCTTCTTACATCTATCTACCTTCTCTCCCTCTTACCCTCCCTCTCTTCACTCACCTACCTCCTTTCCTTCCCATTTCATTCCTCTCCCCTCCCTCCCTCCCTCCCTCTCCCTCCCCCTCCCTCCCTATATTTCTCAACTAACATGAAACAACATAAAATAATATATAAATAAATATATTTTTTAACAATTTGTTGCATTATCAATACAGATTATTTATTTAATTAATTAGTTGGGTAAATAATCTATTAAGTAGATAGAATAAAAAATAAAGGTCAGTTGGTGTTTATATTACGACTTTGAAAAGGAATAAAAGAATCATTCATTGTTGTTTTTAATTAATTTGATAAAGGTGCACATTGGTATGACTGGTGTACACAGCCATATAGACATGACTGGTGCACACAGCCATACAGACATGACTGGTGCACACAGCCATACAGACATGACTGGTGTACACAGCCATACAGACATGACTGGTGTACACAGATATAAAGACATGACTGGTGCACACAGCCATACAGACATGACTGGTGTACACAGCCATGCAGACATGACTGATGTACACAGCTATGCAGACATGACTGGTGTACACAGCCATGCAAACATGCCTGGTGTACACAGCCATACAGACATGACTGGTGTACACAGCTATGCAGACATGACTGGTGTACACAGCTATGCAAACATGCCTGGTGTACACAGCCATACAGACATGACTGGTGTACACAGATATAAAGACATGACTGGTGCACACAGCCATACAGACTTGACTGGTGTACACAGCTATGCAGACATGACTGGTTAGGTTAGGTTAGATTAGGTTAAGTTAAGTTAGGTTAAGTTAGGTTTTGTTTTCACTATAATAATTAGAAGAAAAAAAGACGAGTTAATCTGGACAAGAATGGACCCAGGACTCATCAAGTCTTACAAGAGACTATTCTAACAAGTCTCTGAAGATGTTGAATATGAGAGTCTGGGTGAGGGAGGAAGAAGAAGATGATGACGTCGTGGTCTTTGATGTCTCGTGACGTCGTGGTCTTTGATGTCTCGCGAAGGGAATGAGAAAAATTCCCCTGGATGTCAACACGTACCTGACTGTCTGGTGAATATTACCTGTGTGGGTAAGGGAGGAGTTTAGAAAGGGTTATTTGGATTATAGTTTGTGTGTGTGTGTGTGTGTGTGGAGGGGGGTGTTTTGTGTGTAAGGAAAGTGTCTACGCCTCTGTAATGTATGTGTGAATGTATATATGTATGTATGTATGTATGTATGTATGTATGTGTTAGCGCGGCGAACCTCAACCCCCTCTCTCCCTCCCTACCACTTGTCTAACTTTCCTGAAACTGTATACTTGTTTAGGAAGAGAGAGAGAGAGAGAGAAAGAAAGAGAGGAGAGGAGAGAGAAAGAGAGAGAGAGAGAGAGAGAGAGAGGAGGAGAGAGAGAGAGAGAGAGAGAGAGAGAGAGAGAGAGAGAGACTGGATTGCAAGAAATTAAAACTTTTACCGAAATATCCTCAAATGTTTTACAAGATTCAGACTAGATAAGACAACTTGATTTTGTTTACGTGTTCAAGAGGTTAAGTAGGTGTGGAGGTGATGTGGTAGGTGTGGGGGTGATGTGATAGGTGTGGAGGTGATGTGGTAGGTGTGGAGGTGATGTGGTAGGTGTGGAGGTGATGTGGTAGGTGTGGAGGTGATGTGATAGGTGTGGAGGTGATGTGGTAGGTGTGGAGGTGATGTGGTAGGTGTGGAGGTGATGTGGTTGGTGTGAAAGAGGTCTGTCACTAGTGGATTTGATGTAATAGATATGCAGGCGAAAAACGGTAGAGCGTGGAGGTGTTGGCGACGAGGCGTACACGAGATGCGACAGAGGGCGTGGCGCAGATTGGCTTCATTAGTCACCCCTCAACCGCAATACTCCGTTCTCCCTCCGCGCTCAGTTCCTCGTTTTCTATAATGATGTGCGGATTCTCATTGGGTTTGACTACGAGACGACACGAAATGGCGGGAAAATTTTACTACCTGATTATTTTCTGCTGTGGAGAACATAGGATTATCTGCCTACAAAAAAAATATATTTGTATTCAACTGAATAATTATTTTCTTTTGGTAATATTGGATTTAGTTGATTTATTCTTAACATAATATTAAACTAAGAAAATATTGATAGCATAGTACATTATAAGAGTTGATATATGTAAACGAAAATAAATGTGACGTATTTTATAACGAGCGTAAAATTATGAAAAATCTCTAGTGAACTGGAGGCTGCGGGGTGGGGGGGGGGGGAATATTTATGCCTGCAGACGACGCACCACCAACTGAACCCAAGCTGATGATCTTAACGTCTTTTATATTCGTTTTATTTCGTTTCTTTTCGTTTAGGTTTGATTAATTCGTGTTATATATTGTCAAGATAAGTTTTAAGCCCGTAACCCCTGTCTTTGTTTATGAAGGACGAGGAGAGTGATACAGTTTTCTTATGGGGAATTATATTTATTTGTCTTTAATGTGACACAAGTTTAGGATACTGTATCTTATTTCCCCCTCACGGATATTAACTCCGGGTCGCATAGGGATTATTTTATGTAGCGTTTACCGTTCTTTCCTACCTAAATAAAAGGAATCATTCGTATTATTATCTTTTTTTATCGAATTATATTTTATTTTTTTATTTTCATCCATATTTTTTTTTATTATTTGTGATTTTTTTCTTTTATTTTCATTCATTATTATCTTTCTACATGTCATTCCTTTATTTTTTCATTCATTATCTTTCTATACATTGTCTCTAAATATTTTTTTTTAAGGAAGAATGAAAAAATTTATTTATGTTCGGGTCTTTGGAATACTCTGACCTAATATAACTGTCCCGTATACACACTCGGGGTAATGGTGTGTGTGTGTGTGTGTGTGTGTGTGTGTGTGTGTGTGTGTGTGTGTGTGTCAGCAGCGTGGAGTGAAGGTGTGTTGTGTTGATGATGCTTTGATGTTCTCAGATGCTGACTTAACTCCCATAAAGTTTGTGTTTTATGCCTCGTGAAGATAGAGATGGGAGATAGATAGATTGAAACAGAGAGAGAGAGAGAGAGAGATAGAGAGACAAAGAGAGAAAGATAATGTGATTGAGGGGAAGAAATGAGGAAGTGAGATGTTTCAGGTGTGTGTGTGAGAGGATGTGTCAGCGAGCGGAACATTGGCTGACGAATTGAATCAAGAGGGCAGGAGCTGAGAGGGTAAGAAGGTTATAGTTTGGGGCGTCATGGAGGGGAAAAGGTCTCACTCGAATGGTGGTGGATGTATGAACCTTTTTTATATATACTGTATATATATATATATTATTTTAGTAATGTATTGAGTTTATTGTATTTAGGAAGGGAAAAAAGTAGTGTTAAAAGGCAGAAATGTGGGAATGTATGGGGCCTTTTGTGGATAATGTATTAAAGGGTTATAAACAAAGGAATACATTGTGGTCCCAATAAAAACCGAATAAATGCTTCACTTACGAACCTGTCATTGTGGTAAAACTCACACACACACACACACTCACTCACTCACTCACACACCTCACACACACACACACACACACACACACACACACACACACACATACTCACGCACACAATCTTGCTCACACTCACTCTTGCTCACACGGTGTAGGGTAATCACCGGATAATTAGACAAATTACAAATCGTTTTCAGATCTCAGGTCACAAATCTGAGTTAATTAAGACATGGATCAGTCCTTGACTAGGTCCCCCTTCAAGAAATTAATTAAATTCGCATGAGCGTCTAATGTGTTGCTACGGCGTGGAGCTTCACTGAATAATACATGGAGGGAAGAGTGGAGGAGGGGCGTGTCTGCAGGTGGAGGGAGAGGTGGAGGTGGAGGAGTGTAGATGTTACTGGAGTAAGGTCACTGGTCATTGTGGAGTAAGGTCACTGGTCATTGTGGAGTAAGGTCACTGGTAATTGTGGAGTAAGGTCACTGGTCATTGTGGAGTAAGGTCACTGGTCATTGTGGAGTAAGGTCACTGATTGTGGAGTAAGGTCACTGATTGTGGAGTAAGGTCACTGGTCATTGTTGAGTAAGATCACTTGTCATTGTGGAGGAAGGTCACTGGTCATTGTGGAGGAAGGTCACTGGTCATTGTGGAGTAAGGTCACTGGTCATTGTGGAGTAAGGTCACTGGTCATTGTGGAGGAAGGTCGTTACTTGTCCTCCCAGTGAGTGTTGAAATTGACCTTATATGACCTCTGTGTTCCGTCTTACCTGTGACGAGACGGTAGCCTGAAGAGCCTTACCTGTAATTAGAGCGGAGACAGTAGCCAGGAGGACGGAGAGGACTACAGAAGGTCCCGCCCACTCTGCCGCCCCCGCGCCCACATAGATATACCCGCCCACGCCCACAACACTGCTCAGACCTGTCGGGAAGAGAGAGAAAGAGAAAAACACGGAGTTAGTTGAGGTGGTGGCGATCACTATTATGTTGATGGGAACAGACAAACAGACATATCTAGATGAGTACTTACATAGACGTTCATGCATGTAGGGATAAACACACACACACACACACACACACACACACACACACTATTTAAAACGTAATAACACATAACACAACCTGTCAATACCAGCCACAACATCCCTCGGTACACGTTCAATTTATTACAGGGAATAAATTACCAGTAGAGGGCAGGTGAGACAAGCTCTCTCTCCCTCCACCATCCCGACCTCCCTACCCTCTCTCCCTACCTCCCTACCCTCTCTCCCTCTACCCTCCCTCACTGCTGGTCACTTGTACAATCTCTTTAGTGGTGGAGAACGTTTGGGAATATATAAGGATTTGTGTATATCCGATATTGGCAATAACAAACTTGTGCATGCAGGGTGACCAGGCAGGCGAACCTTCCCCAATAATGCAGATAAGAGAGAGATATATATGAGAGTAATTGATTGTGATATTGGCCAAGGTGATGTTTGATAGTGATGGTGACCAAGGTGATGTGTGATAGTGATTGATTGTGATGGTGATGTGTGATAGTGATGGTGGTGATGTGTGATAGTGATGGTGACCAAGGCGATATGTGATAGTGATGGTGGTGATGTGTGATAGTGATAGTGATGGTGATGTGTGATAGTGATGGTGACCAAGGTGATGTGTGATAGTGATGGTGGTGGTGTTTGATAGTGATGGTGACCAAGGTGATGTGTGATAGTGATGGTGGTGATGTGTGATAGTGATGGTGGTGGTGTTTGATAGTGATGGTGACCAAGGTGATGTGTGATAGTGGATGGTGGTGATGTGTGATAGTGATAGTGATGGTGATGTGTGATAGTGACCAAGGTGATGTGTGATAGTGATGGTGGTGGTGTTTGATAGTGATGGTGACCAAGGTGATGTGTGATAGTGATGGTGGTGATGTGTGATAGTGATTGGTGGTGTTTGATAGTGATGGTGACCAAGGTGATGTGTGATAGTGATTGATTGTGATGGTGACCAAGGTGATGTGTGATAGTGATGGTGGTGATGTTTGATAGTGATGGTGACCAAGGTGATGTGTGTGATAGTGATGGTGGTGGTGTTTTGATAGTGATGGTGACCAAGGTGATGTGTGATAGTGATGGTGGTGATGTGTGATAGTGATGGTGGTGTTTGATAGTGATGGGACCAAGGTGATGTGTGATGGTGGTGATGGTGATAGTGATAGTGATGGTGATGTGTGATAGTGACCAAGGTGAGTGTGATAGTGATGGTGGTGGATATGATGGTGACCAAGGTGATGTGTGATAGTGATGGTGGTGA